TTTCATAGTCCCTTTCTTCCACCGTCTTCATCAGCGCAGCGAGTTTCCTTTCCATTTCAGCCATGCTTTCTTCCGTGCTGCTTGCATCGGCCATCATAACAGACATCACATCGATTTCTGGAATTTTCTCCAACTGAACAGAGGAAGGAGCAGACTTAATGAACAAAGGATTCTCCTTGATAACGACCCCAACTTGAGTAGGTTTCTTCATCTGCTGCAGTATTTTCTTAGCAACAGCTGGAGGTGTTTGCTCTTCTCCTAACTGGATTTCCTTTGAACGGCTACGGGTGATCGGTCTTGTGTAAGAGGTATTGCTCGAAGAAGTTTTCTTAGATGTCATTGTTTCTTCTTTCTTTTTTTCTCGAGAGAATTTTGAGCCTTGGGAAAAAGATGAGAGGTAGAGATGGTCCCACTGGGCGTGCCAATTTGTTCACACGAAATTTCAGGAGAAATTATCTTTCGTGGAGTTGAACTTTTATATTGTTTGCATGTGTTGTATAGTGGATTCAATCTCTAATCCTTGTCCTCTGATTCTTTCTCTCGAACTTGATGTGAATATCTATGTTATTGAATTTAGATCGAAGTTATATGTTCTTCAAAAGTTTTCAAGTTTTCAAGTATTCAAAGTCTTCAAGTTGGTATTCGAATCTTCAAGTCTTCAAAGAGTCTTCAATTTGGTGTGAATTCTCTCAATTCTGAACCCCCCAAAATGAATGAGATCCCCTCTATTTATAGAGGTTTCCATAAGCTTTGGTGGGCCATTGGACTTGGATAATTTTGGGCCAAGCTCAATTCTTTAAATGGATTTATTTAAATTTAAATATTAATCCCCTGTAAATTGGGTTTTGGGCCAAGTTTGTGAACCAAATCGATTCCAAGCCCAATACTCATATGACCCAATTACATATTTTAATTGTCAAATTATCTTTAATTTTAATTTAGGGTTAATATATAATTAATCCCTAAATAAAATAGATAATGACGTGGCCGTTTANCTTCTCGCTTGTGTTTCACCCCTTTCAAATCTTCCATCTTCTCTTTTTTTTTCTCTTGGGTTTTATGAAAAAAACACCGCTTTCAGATCTTCCATCGCTTCAGAAGCGATTTCGATTTTGAGATCTCGCTTCGGTGCTCTCTCGCTCTCTCTCGCTCTGGGTCATTGTTTTTTTTTCTTTCACGTAACGATAGGGGGACACTAAAAAAAATTTTATAACTAAATTTTAAATTTGATACTTTCACATCATTTATTAGAGATGAAACAAAGTAAATTAAATTTTAAATCCAATCATAATTAAAATTAGGAGATCAAAGGAGAGATTTTAAGGAAGAGAAAAAATCTTAAACAAATTTGATTTAAATTTCAAATTTGAATATGAATACACTAAAATGAAGGAGATTGACGAGAGATTAAGACACTGTTCCTTAATTCTAATTTTCAAATTTTTAATTAAAAAATCTTTAACCCCTTAAATTATTTGTTAATATTTTTTAATTTGAATTTGACCAAACTATTTCGAATTTTATTTATTTTTCCATTGATTTAATTTAGTTTATGATTTCATTTAAATTAACCAAATTTTATTATTATTACTATTATTATTTAGATAAATAAGAAACGACATTTTATTTGGGAATTTCAAAATATTTGAAATTATTCACTTTATAAATTGATAAATATTCATTCAAACTTAATTCAATAATTTAGGAAATTTATTCATTATATAAATAGATTTTTAAGGAATTAAATTAAATTCGAAATCACAATTCTCTCTCCCCTGTCGCTCTCTCCCTCATCTCTTGCTCTCCAGCAACGTCTCCGCCGCCGTCACTGTCTTCTTCTTCGAGAAAAGAATGTTGGAGCATACAATGATAATAGAAAGGGATTTGCTAAATATTTTGAAAAATCTAAACTTATCATAGGTAGTTTTTCTCAAGGATTTTGGGGAAAAGGATAACACAAAAGACCAAGGAAGTGAGAGAGAAGAAGAAATTTCTTGAAAAAAGGGAGGGAATAAGAGAGAAATATAAAAAAATGAGTGGAGGGATAGTGAAAGTAATTTAGTATCCATGTGATGTTAGAAAATGTCTAGAAAACATGAGTTTTAAAAATTAGGGTGATTAGAAAACAATACTGCTTTTTAAAAATATACCTATTCAGCCAAAAATCTCAAATAAAATGTGGGGAGAAGCTTGATCACGAGAATTAGGGTGAGAAGTTCAAATTTCAATAAGAAAACACAAGCCACAAAAGTCCAAGTATACAAGATTATTATTTTGAGAGAGAGAAAATCAATGATTTTGGAAACAGAAATCCTGAAAATAACTATTAAAAACAGAACTCTATTATTATTTTCAATTTGAAAATTGAATCCAAGTTAAGTCAGTACCTCTTGATTTTAGATATATGTCAATTAATGCTGACTTATGCACGCTCTGACTTGTAAATTTAATAGGCTCGCTTTGTAACTTTCGATTTTTTGTCTCTGTTCCATCTTTTTTAATAAAGAAAAATAGAATTACATAGTATCCAACACCCATTGATGCAATAATGATAATACAATATTTTTATTTATAATGAAACAAATTGAAAATAGAAACCAGAAACAAAATATTTTTTAATGAGAAAAACATTGTGCTAATTAATCTAAAATAATATTAATTAATTTATTAACATTTTTAATATAAATTTTTAATAAAATTGAAAATGAGAAAAACATTGTGCTAATTAATCTAAAATAATATTAATTAATTTATGAACATTTTTAATATAAATTTTGTATAATTATTATTTTACAATCTTGTTTTCAAAATTTCATTTCCTTCACAGAATTCAAAAATAATTTAAAAACAAAGGTATCAAACACTATCTCACGCTTCCCTGAATCCATTTGAAACAAAATATGAATGACCAATCTAGAATTATGAATGTGTTCATCTAATTTATCGCCAGTAAAATAGGTCGCAATCTACTTCCACATCCCATTATAAAAATAGAACCGACCATAAACTGGTAAAATTAGATCTATTCTCAAGATTTAACCTTATTATGGATGTACATAAAAACTACTGCAAACAAAGCATTTATAATTTTGGTTAAAATTGCATGAATTTTGACTCGGGATTCATGCAATCTTAGTTGAATCCCCACGATCTTGATTGAATACAAATTTTGATATGAACAGAGCATTTATAATTTCCATATATATAAGAAATCATGTTCCTCTAATTAAGATTGGCCATCAATTCTCTCTTTTGAGTTTCCAACCATGATCCTCCTTTCCAAATTACTTTCGTCGCATCTTCGCACTTAGAATTTCTCGACAATGACTTCCTCATAAACAACGAGTTGAGTTGTTTATAAGAAAATATAAACAGAACCAAACTCAATGAAACAAGAATTCTATTTTAACACGCTGTATTTAGAAAAGACGTGCCCCCACTTGCACTAGGTTGTTCAGCACTCTACTCCCAAGATACACACCCTCCAAGAGACCTTGTGTGCACCTAAGCTTTCACCAATCCCACTTAACTTGTATGCTCATAAAATATAAGAGAAAGGTTTTGGAGAAGGAGATGTGAAGCTTGTATTTACTTCCCCTCTACAACCCCTCTTATATATATAGTATTTGAAGAGACTAAAAATAGGTTTTTATAATTTAAAACTTAACCAACCTTGCTAAATCACTCATTGGTACGAGGGAAAGACCAAATCAATTTTCTAATAAAAGAATAACAAATTAGTCAAACTTATAAAATCTTTTAATTTTCCAACAATCCCGTACATAATTAAAGATTTTCTAAAAGTCTAACACAAGTGTGTTTTCATTTTGAAGGAAAAAGAAAAGAGCATTCTTACTATGTAATAGGTGTAGGTACCTTTTGAGTTTTAACCTTCACTTAGTGTAAGTAAATGTACATTTGAAATAAACTAAGTATTAAATCAGGTCTTTGAGTCAAATTTCCACTTATCCCACACATAGTACAAGCAAGTTTGGGATTCTAGTCAGTTTTGCGCCTTAGACAGTCATGCGCACATATCACGTTTTCATGAGTGTTTTAAGGTGTAGCCCAAACACCTATTGTGGCAACCCCACCACAACACTCATATAGGTGAAACCTCCAAGGGTTATTTGTGATCAACACCCTGCATAATACATGTCTTGGTTTCATTCAGAGTTAACTCTTTTTTATCATCACAATTATGAGCACTACCACCATAGGAATGAGACTCGGAGTATTCTTCCATTATTATAACTAGTGCTTCCATAGTCACACTCCAACATTGTTGTTACCCCTTGAACCTCTTTCATGGGATCTCCAATCTTGGAGGGTTGGTGTCCATTGTGGTAACTATCTTATGGGCTTTAGTCTCATTCCCCTTGATGCTTCAATAACTCGTTTGTGCGATAAACCTTTTGTAAACGGATCCACTAGGTTTTCTTGAGACCTGACAAAGCAAGAGAAATCACACCATGAGAGAATAATTGCCTAATAGAATTATGTCTAATTCTGATGTGCCTAATTTTAACATTATAGATTTTATTATTAGCCTTAGCTATGGTAGCTTGACTAACAATGTAAACGCACGGCAGGATTACCATTTAGAAAGAAAGGAAAATCAGCAATTAGACTTCTTAACCATTTTGCCTTTTTATTAGTTAAGCCTAAGGCAACAGCTTCCATGGTGGATCTAGAAATTAATGTTTGCTTAGTAGATTCTCATGTTATTGCACCGCTACCCAAACTAAAGATACAACCACTAGTTGCTTTAGTTTCATCTGATTCAGAGATTCAATTAGCATCATTGAATCCTTCTATTACTGATGGAAATTGATAAAATGCTATTTATCTTGTTATTCTATTGGTGTAGTTTTCTATTTTCTCTATGTAATAGTTGGTTGCCTTTTTACCTATTGTATTGCTCCACGTATTGAGACTCTTCTCTATATATTTAGAGTCTTGTACCTTTTCATAATATGACTTGAAATATTCTTATTTTGGTACTGTACGGACTATGATTTTATACGGTATCAGAGACCTCAGGGTCCTTTTCTTCTCTTTTCTAACGGCGTCAATGGCAGCTTCCTCATCTTCTTCTTCCTATTCCTACTCTAGTCGCAACTCCAAATCACTTCCGGCCGATTAATCTCTCAACTCCAGTTGCACCTCCATTTACTCAAACTCATCATCTTCGTCCGCCTGATTTCATCAACACCAGCCCACAACAAAATCAATTTCCTTTGTCCAATCAATATCCATACCAGTACCACTATCCATATCTCCCATTTTACCCACAAACTTTCTTCCCTTCAGCCCCATCACAACCGCACCAAAATTCCTTTCCTAATCCCCCGATTTCATCACAACTGCACCAAAATACCAGTACAAATCCAGCGCCCGATATTTTCCACTCCCAACCCAATCCCTCATGTTCATCCTCAGCCAGCCCCGATGCAGTTTCCGCCTCCGACACCAAATTTCTTAGCCCAGCCTCCAAATCCGTTTTCGGCAAATCCCTTTCCCACTCTGCCACAACCTCTAAATGTTAAACTTAATGACAACAATTTTCTTCTCTGGAAAAACCAGCTACTCAATGCTGTTATTGCCAATGGCCTTCGGGGATATCTTGATGGAACGATAATGCCTCCGCCACAATTTTTGGATCACCATCAGCTTCAACCAAATCCTGCCTATTATGCTTGGGAAAGGTACAATCGCCTTTTAATGTGTTGGATTTATTCTTCTCTATCTGAAGAGAAAATGGGTGAAGTTGTATCTCTTGAAACAACGCATGACATTTGGTCTTCTCTAACTAGAGTTTATGATTCTAAGACCACAGCTAGAATTATGGGCTTAAAAACAGAGTTACAAAATCTGAGGAAAGATGGATCATCTGTTAGTCAATATCTAGCTAAGATTAAAGAGATTGCTGATAAATTTGCTGCTGTTGGTGAACCTCTTTCCTATCGTGATCATTTAGCTCATGTCCTAGATGGTCTAGGGAGTGAATACAATGCCTTTGTTACATCTATTCATAATAGGGCTGATTCCCCTTCTTTAGAAGATGTTCGCAGTCTTCTTTTAGCCTATGAAGCACGTTTGGACAAACAGAACACGGTCGACCAGCTTAATATTGCTCAGGCCAACCTTGTCAATCTTTCCCTTCAACACAACAGTAAGCGCCCTCCTCCAAAGTTCTCATTCCCCAACCATTACAAACACTCTTTTCCTAATTCCCCTATTTCCGCTGCTCAATCTCAAAGCATACTCGGTAAGCCACAAAGTGTTCACAAATGGCCTCCCAAGCCCTCTAGTTCCAAAATACAATGTCAAATTTGTGGTAAACTTGGTCATTCTGCTGCTGTGTGTTATCATAGAACCAATATTGCTTATCACAATGCTTCCCCTCAAGCTCTTTATCATCATGTTCAACCTTCACCCACCCATCCATCTTCTGGGCATGAATTTCAACACCCTGATGAAAGCTGGTTTATGGATTCCGGTGCCACTCACCATATGACTCCGGACTCCTCCATTCTTTGCAATCCAACCCCTTATAGTGGTGGTGAACAAGTCACAGTTGGAAATGGTAAGAAAATGTCTATCTCTCATATTGGTTCTTCTTCACTGTCTTCTCCTTACAAACCTCTTATTCTACACAATGTTCTTTACACACCTGCAATTTCTAAGAAATTAATTAGTATTGCTCGTTTGTGTAAGGATAATCAAGCTTTTGTTGAATTTTACTCCTCTTATTTTCTTGTCAAGGATCTTCGGTCCAAGATGGTTCTTCTTCAGGGATCGCTTGAGGATGGATTATATCGTCTCTCTCCTGGTATACAACGCTCTGTTTCCTCTCCACGTTCCTCACCCACTGCTGTTTTTTTGTCATCTGTTCATTCTGCCCCAACTTGGCATGTGAGGTTAGGTCACCCTGCTGCTTCCACTCTCAAGCAAATTTTGTCTCTTTGTCATATTTCTCCTTCCAAGGATCATGTTCCTGATTTTTGTAATTCATGTCAGTTAGCTAAGAGTCATCGTTTACCTTTTAACTTGTCCACTACAAAAACTACTGAACCCTTTCAATTGGTTCATTCTGATGTATGGGGACCTTCCCCTCAAATTTCTGTTAATGGAGCTCGGTATTTTCTTTTATTTGTTGATGATTTTACTCGTTTTTCTTGGTTATATTTACTTAAGTCTAAAGATGAAACTTTCTCTTACTTTTTAACCTTTAAGTCTTTTGTTGAACCCAATTTGGCAAGTACATTAAATGCCTTCAAACTGATTGGGGGGGTGAGTTTCGTCGAGTATCCTCCTTTCTAAATTCTCATGGTATTGACCATCGAATTTCGTGCCCTTATACTCCTCAGCAAAATGGGAGGGTAGAACGTAAAAATCGCAATGTTGTTGAAATTGGTCTTTCTTTACTTGCTCACTCTCATTTACCTTTAACCTTTTGGAGTTTTGCTTTTCAAACAGCAGTTTTTCTTATCAGTAGGTTGCCCACTCCTATTCTTAATTCTTTCTCCCCTTACCAAAAGCTTTATGGCTCTATACCAGATTATCATTTACTTAAATCATTTGGGTGTGCCTGCTTTCCTTTTCTTCGTCCTTACAATTCTCATAAACTTCTTTTTCGTTCAACGGAGTGTCTTTTCATTGGGTATAGTTCTCATCATAAAGGTTACTTATGTCTTGAACCCTTATCTGGACGGATTTATATCTCTCGTCATGTTGTTTTTAATGAATCTAGTTTCTCGTGTGCATCTAAATCCTTTTTCTTTGGTCCGGTCAAACAAATCTCTTCTAATTCTTCTTCTTTTTCCCCTGAGCCTTTTCCCATTTTTCCCACTTCTTCTTCAGCTTCCTTGCCCATTTTCCCTCTTTCTACTCCTCATGGTTCAGCGACTCCTTTGTGTCCCCCTGGTTTTTCTCCTACCTTTTCTCATTGTGACAACGTTCCCCATCACACCACCACATTAGTTTCTGCAGCACAAAATTCTTTCCCTACTACTTCCATCTCTCATCCATCCCCTACCATCAATACTAGCCCATCTCCAATTATTCCCTCTCCCACTGCCATTTCTGAAAATAATGAATCTCATGTCCCTGCCATCCCACAAGCCCCACCTCAGTGCCAATTCCACCCCCTATCACCAATGTTCATCCTATGATTACACGAGCCAAAGCCGGCATTTTTAAACCTAAGGCATGGCTTACCTCTTCTACCATTTCTCCGTCCATTACAAGTGAACCCACCTCTTTTCGGACTGCTGTTAAATGTGTTGAATGGAAAGATGCTATGGCTAAGGAATATCAAGCTTTGGTAAGTAATGGTACTTGGGATCTTGTCGAACCATCACCCATGCATAAGGTTATTGGATGTAAGTGGGTATATAAAATCAAGTTACGACCAAATGGTGAGATTGAGAGGTATAAAGCTCGTTTGGTGGCTCGAGGTTTTGACCAAGCTTATGGGATTGATTACTTTGAGACCTTTAGTCCAGTTATTAAGCCGGCCACTATTCGTGTTGTTATTTCTCTTGCCGTTCAGTTCAAATGGCACATTCGACAACTTGATGTCCATAATGCTTTTTTAAACGGTGATCTTCAAGAGGATGTGTATATGTCTCAACCCCAAGGTTTTGTTGATATAGATAAACCTTCTCATGTCTGTAAATTGCGAAAGGCGTTGTATGGATTGAAACAAAGCCCTCGTGAATGGTTCTTGAAACTGAGTACATGTCTAGTTCAGTGGGAATTTCAAGCTTCGAAATCTGATACCTCGATGTTTGTTTATAATAAGAAATCTATTTTGGTTATAATTCTGATTTATGTGGATGATATTCTGGTTACTGGTAATAGCCTCTCCTTTATACAGCACTTTATTTCTTCCTTAAATTCCATGTTTGCTTTAAAGGACTTGGGTGAACTATCTTACTTCTTGGGTATGCAAGTCCTTCGATGTGGTGATTCGTTGCATATATCTCAACATAAGTATTTCATTGATCTCCTACAACGAGCGGATATGGTTCATTGTAAGCCTCTTGATACTCCGATGGCTACTGGTAAGGTACTCTCTCTTAATGATGGAGAGTTATTTCATGATCCATCTCTTTATCGTAGCATTGTTGGTGCTCTTCAGTACTGCACTCTTACTCGCCCTGATTTGAGCTTTTGTGTCAATAAAGTGTGTCAATTTCTCCATGCTCCAACTGTAGTACATTGGCTTGCTGTCAAGCGTATTCTTCGCTATATTAAACATACAAATAGGCTTGGAATCACCTTTACATACTCACCTCATCAGGCTTTAACTTGTTATACTGATGCTGATTGGGCCAGTTGTCCAGATGATCGTCGAAGTACCAGTGGTTTTGTATTTTCCTTGGTAATAATTTAGTCTCTTGGTCTTCATCCAAACAGAAAGTTGTATCTCGTTCCATTGCCGAGTCTGAGTATCGTGGAATGTCTAATGCCACTGCTGAATTAATATGGCTCCAGTCTGTTTTGTCGGAAATTTGTGTTTCTTTATCATCGATTCCTTTACTTTTGTGTGATAATATTAGTGCCACATACTTGGCTGCAAACCCAGTGTTACATAAACGCTCTAAGCACATCGAAATTGACCATCATTTTATTCGAGAGCGAGTGCTTCGCAAACAGCTCTTAGTTCGGTTTGTACCCTCAGAGGACCAACTTGCTGATATCATGACGAAACCTCTTCCTACCCAGAGGTTCAGTAGCTTACGCACCAAGCTCACAGTGCTTAGCCCGGCTTCGCTTGCGGGGGGATGATAAAATGCTATTTATCTTGTTATTCTATTGGTGTAGTTTTCTATTTTCTCTATGTAATAGTTGGTTGCCTTTTTACCTATTGTATTGCTCCACGTATTGAGACTCTTCTCTATATATTTAGAGTCTTGTACCTTTTTATAATATGAGTTGAAATATTCTTATTTTGGTACTGTACGGACTATTATTTTATAGAAATTCATTATAACAAATACCCAAATCAGAAGTACCTTTAGGGGCCATTTGTTTTTTGGGAATGTAGATGCCCGACATCTTCGGATGTCCGGAATCTCAGATGTCTGGAATTTAAGATGTCTGGAATTCAAGATAGACACGTTTGTTCTGTAGGAAAATTTGTAAGGATATTCGAGAATATTTGGATAGCGACGTTTGTTTTGCAGGATTTATTGGTGGGAATGTTGTAAATTTATCTAATGTATGCCCCTACGAATATTGATATAACTTATACATTAATTTTATATAATTTGTATTTATATTGGATTTGTTTTTACTAATTTAGTATTTTCTTGTATGTTATTTTGTACTATAAATTAATTCATTTAATATAAGATTTTTTTAAAAAAATATTAAATATAAATTGTATTTTAAAATGTAATGTTTTTAAAGAAAAACAATTATATAATTGATGTTATCCTAAAATAAAATTTTTTCTAATTCATGGTTCACATACAAACAAAAATCAAAGTTTGAAATATATTTATTCTCCCAACAACTAAAACTATCAAAAAAAAAAAATGAAACTTAAGTCAAACTTATTCAACAACAAAACACAAAGTGAAATTCTCCACACAAAACATTGTCTACTTGTTGACTACCCTTACCTTGGAATAAGTGTAATATAAATTCTCTTCGGGCAATGTAAAAAAATAATGAGTCTGGTCAAGATCCTTTGATAGGAGTGAACCTGCTCGAATTCTTTAAGTATCTGTCAGTCCTTCAACATCCATACGTTCAGTAAATATGTGAGTTCTCATTTTAGAAATAATAGTTTAAGTTTCAAAATAATTAGTTATCTTATCAATATTTTCAGTCGTTTTCTGATAGAGGTCATCCATGTTCTCCAAAGATTTAGTCACAATTTCAACTAATTTATCTTCACGCTTTACCTTTTTTTTTTTTTATGATTTTGTAGAAGTGTCAGATTGAGTTGGAAGATTTGAGTCAGGATCATCCATAGACATGGAATCTACCTCATCAACCCCTCTTTGGGATGAGGTAGATTCTCAAGTGGGTGCGACACATAACAGTCATTGAACTCATCCCACATCCCATGACTTGTCTCCATGTCTACTTTCTTAGCCATATCTCCTGGTCCATCAGCTCCAAAACCATTAGCTCAGTCTTTGCCAAATATTATTGCCATCTCATCATCTAAGTATGAGAAAGACTTGTTACTCAACCCTTTTGCAGTGGGGTGACTCTACAACAAAAATTATGTAATGTAATATTAATGATTAAATGATATTATATGGAATCCAATAAAATATAAAATATCATATTCAATTACGTACCTTGACCCAATCATCGAATACATCTTTCGAACAATAAATACACTTCTCTCGTTCATTCCAACCAAAACCACTACAATTTAGCCCTAACATTTCTACAATTGAATTACATTGCTTCTTCAGTAGTTTCACTCTTCATTCTATATGAGGTTGAGCCTTCACCTCACATCTAGACAACTTTAACTTCATCATTTTCTCTATTTGTTGTAAATAACCTGAACTAAACGTTCCATTATCACAATGCCATTGACTTGAATTCGCTAATTCCAACCGGCATTCAACCAACTTCTCATCATTTTCTTTGGTCCAAACATGTTTCTTGTTGGAATTCCATTTAGATTGATCATTGTCTTCCATGTCTATAAGTTGTAAATTCATAATTAATATTTAAATAAAATACAAAATACTAACATTGATATGTAAACTACAATACAGTGACACACGTTAACATCTATATAAAACAAAATTAAATAAATAAAATAAATTAGAATAACAAACATTTTAATAAGCTTGGTTATGAAAGATAATAATTAACAATAATAACATAACAATTAATAAAAATATCCCAAGTCAATGAATAAAAGGGCAAAAATCCTAAAAATATAAATATTTACTAGCTCATCTTTAATCTCCATTCATCATACATCTTTCGTGCTAAGTTATCTTGCCAAGCATTCCACTCATTCGATGTCTCAACATAAGTGATAGAGTCTAATTCAGTTTCGTCAAAAGTATTATGAACCAACTCATCTTCTATTGGATCGATGGGCATTTCTTGACTAATTAAGTTGTGGAGCAAACAACAGGCGATAATTATCCTACATTGAATTTTTACAGGGTAATATGACTTTGATATAAGAATAGCCCATATTCCTTTAAGGAGGCCAAAAGCCCTCTCAATTACATTCCTTGCAGAACAATGCTTCATGTTGAAAAACTCCTCTGGTGATGTTGGTGTATAACCTTGTCGCCATTCATTTAATTGGTAACGTTGTCCTCTATATGGTGTTAAAAACCTCTCTCCATTTGTATACTTAGCATCACATAAGTAATGAAATCCTACAAACTCAAGGGATTAATTAGATAAATTAGAATTCAACACATATTAATCTATATGAGAAAATCCAAATTATTCATATAGTTAGTTACTACCTTTGGGAACTATCAATCCATTCCTCCTTGATACAGCATCTCTTAAAACTCTAGAATCTGAAGCTGATCCTTTCCATCCAGGCAAGACGTAAATAAACTCCATATTTTGGCTACAAACAGCCAGCACATTTATGGCTATTTCATTTTTTTCTTGTTCTGTATCTAGGTCTATCAACGACACTAACATTCACTTTAATATATATCTCATCTAATACTCTCAAGCAATTTTGAAAGAACATAAAGAATTGTTTTAACCCATTTGAATAAGTATCAATAACAATAAATCTTTAGTTTTAGTACTTCAATTTCATACCTCAAACCATCTCCACCTTTCATCCAATGAACTTGCAAGTACAGGATCCGATTTTTTGAGTAAACACTCATGTTGGCGCAGTTCTTAACTTCATTGAAGTACCTACTAACTGTTTCACCCGATCGTAGGAAATGTCTACGCATTACTCTAGCATTACTCTATTCTTTACATCATGTGCAATGATGTGTAAAAATATTGTCACCATTTCCTCTACCTCAATATGTTTACTTGCATTTAACTTATCTACTGTCTTAAGCATATGACAAAGTATATACTAAACGTTCTCCTATACATACGAGTATTCTCAAAACATGCTAAATCACTCTCATGGATTAACCTATGGAGATTGAGTTGCCTAACTTGTAGTCTAAGAAACGTACTTTCACCTCTTACATACCTACGAGAATTCTTCCTACATACAACAATTGACAATAACAATATATTTAAATAATACATCTGGTTTAACATACCTATATAACAATTTGTTATATAGACACAATATTAACCATCTGTTCCCAAAAGAAGACGATTCATATATGCAAAGAATATAAATATATTTTTCATACATAAGTTTCTAAATATTAATAATATTTTATTTCAAATAAATTATCAGCAAATTAAAAAATTCAATAAATTAAAAAAATAGTGAATTCGAAAAAATAAAAAATGCAAGAAACGGTAGAAAATAAAATAAATACGAAAACTTAGAAAATAAGAAAATTTAAATGCAGAAAATAAGTAAAAAATGCAAAAATAAAAAAAGGAAAAATGTAGAAAAATCAATGAAAATGCAGAATGGTTGAAAATGCAGAAAACAAACAATTGCAGAAAATAAAAATAAAAAATGCAACAAATAAAAACACATACAATTAAAATGTAAAAAAATAAAATGCTGAAAGTAAAAATACAGAAACTTTCTATGCAGAAAATAAAATGCAGAACATAAAAATAAAGAAACTTTTAAATGCCAAAAATTCAAATGTAGAAAATAAAATTCAGAAAATTTAGATGAAGAAAATTCAAATGTATAAGATAAAAAATGCAGAAAATATAAATGCATAAAATTCAAATGCAAAAAACTAGAATTTTAGAAAATAAAATCCAGAAAATAAAAAAATGAAAATGCAGAAAATCAAAAAAATAAAAATGCAGAAAAATTCAGAAAAATCACAAAATGAAAATGTAGGACTAGTTGGAAATGCATAAATTTTAGAGAATTAAAATGCTGAAAATAAAGAAAAAATGAAGCAAATAAAAACACAGACAATTTAAATGTTATAAATTAAAATGCTAAAAGTAAAAAAAAAAAAAGACATAAAATTTCTATGCAGAAAATAAAATGCTAAATAAAAATAATGAAACTTTAAATGTTAAAAATTCAAATGCAGATAATTTAAATGCAGAAAATAAAATGCAGAAAATTTAGATGAAAAAAACTCAAATGTATAAGATAAAAAATGCAGAAAATTCAAATAAAAAAACTAGAATTTTAGAACATAAAATCCAGAAAATAAAAGTAAATTCAAATGCAAAATTTGAACAGAAAACTAAAATACAAAAAATTTAAAGGCAGAAAATAAAGATTAATGCAAAAAAATAAACATGCGGAACAAAAAATCAAATTCATAAATTGTAATGTAGAATGCAGAAAATTTAAATTTAAATGCAAAAAATAAATATGCAGCAAATTAAATACCAAAAATTATAATGCAGAAAATAAAAAAAAAAACACAGAAAATTTAAATGCTGGACCTTTAAATAAATAATGCAGAAAAGTGAAAGGCAGAAAAGTAAAATTCAAAAAATAAAAATGCAGAAAATAAAAATAAATTGTAATGTGAAAACCTAAATTGTAGAAAATTAAAATTAAACTGCAGCAAATAATTTGCAGAAATTTTAAATTCAAAAAATTAAAATGTAGAAAATAAAAATAAAAATAGATAATTTAAATACAGAAAATATTAAGGAAAAAAAATCAAAAGCATAAATTTTTTGTCAAATAATTTTGAAAATGCAAAATTTTGTTGGGATTCCATTTTGATTGTGTTTAAAATAAATCATTCCAAAAACTTTTCCAAATTTTTTGAAAATAAAAAATCTTTTTAAATTATGGATAAAAAAACAAAAAAAAAAGTATAACAAAATATGAAAATACAGAAGATACTGATCTTTCAATTAAAAGGTTCACTTCCTTGACATGAATTCATAATATAAAATATAAAAAATGTAATAAAAAACACAATCGAAAAACGTGAAAAGATAGAAACATAAAAGAAAAGGAAGAAAATAGAAAGAAAGTTAATGTGAAAATAAATACCTAATATCAAAGAAGGATGAGAGCTTGAAAATTGAGTGATAGAGAAGAATGAGACGGCTGGAGAAAGAAAAATATTGTTAGCTTAATATAATAGGGTTAGAGGTAGATTTGGTCATTTAATGATTCGGAGATCGAATATCAAAAACTCATCTTTTAAACGGTAATCAAAATGGCTACAAATGAGGGATTCTCAAATGTCCGGCATCTTTGGATGCCTCGTCATTTTAGGATTACCACAATTCAAATGAGATAATCCACATACCCATGGGATAAGCATCATAGATTACCATCAAACAAGCGACCCTTTAAGGTATCTGCACAACCTTTCAATAGCACACCAGTGATATTAACTTGGATTACAAGTATATCTACTTAACCTATTAGCAGCATATGAAATATCGGGTCTAGTGTAATTAGCTAGATACATGAGTGAACCAATTATTTGAGAATATTCCTGCTATGATATATGTTCTCCTATATTCTTTTTAAGCTTAGAATTTGGATCATAAGGGGTAGAAATAGGACTCAAATCAGAATAGTCAAATTTCTGTAATAAATGTTCCACGTAATGTGATCAAGTCAATATAAATTCACAGTCTCTTTTAATCAATTTAACACCCAATATGACATCAGCAGGACCTAAGTCTTTCATGTTAAAATTATTTGACAGAAATTCTTTTGTTTTATGGATAACATTCACATTAGTGTCAAATATAAGAATATCATCAACATACAAACAAAGGATAACACAAGTATCATCTAACCTTTTAATGTAAAGACATTTATTAGAATCATTAATGAGAAAACCATAAGAAATAATCACACTATCAAATTTCTTATGTCATTATTTAGGGACTTGTTTTAGTCCATAAAGAGATTTAACCAACTTACAAGCTTTATGTTCTTGACCTGGTTTTATAAACCCCTCAAGTTGTTCTATATAAATTTCTCCTTCTAATTCACCATTTAAAAAGGCAGTTTCAACATCTCTTTGATGAATTTCTAATTTCAAAATAGAGGTAATGGCTATCAAGACTCTAATGGTAGTCATTCTAGCTACAGGAGAGTAAGTGTAAAAAAAGTCTACACCTTCCTTTTGAAACTATACCCTTTTGCAACTAATCTAGCTTTAAATTTATCTATGAAGCCGTTAGTTATGAGTTTTTTCTTAAAAATCCACTTACAACAATTGTTTTACAACCACATGGAAGTTCAGTTAAGACCCAGGTATTATTAGACAAAATTGACTTCATTTCAATCTTAATAGCTTGTTTCGAAAAATGTCCATCTATAAACTTCATTGCTTCTAAATATGTGTTAGAGTCACTTTCAACTAAATAATTAGTATAGGAATCATCACCAAAATTTTTATTAACTCTATTCCTTTTACTTTTCTTTTATTATACTAGTTCCAGATTAGGAGCCACCTCTTTAGACCCTAAACTTTCATTAAGGTGATTGTTTAAATTAATCTTTATAGGAATAATGTTTTCAAATAAAGTGGCGTCACGAGAATCTATAATTTTATTTTTTGTAAATTCAGAAATATCTGAATTTAGTACAATAAATCTATAGGTAGCGCTATTTAAAGAGTACTCAACAAAAGCAAAGTCAATGGTTTTAGGGCCTAGTTTTATTTTTTTTTATTAATAGGGATATTAACTTTAGTCACCCCACACTTTAAGGAAACTCAAGTTAGGGACTTTATTTTTCCAAACTCGCATGAAGTTTTATCATAATTTTTATAAAGAATTCTATTCAAAATAAGCAGAATATAAAACTTCACCCCAAAAATTAGTTGGTAGATCATGACTCACTAACATGGCATTAACCATATCTAATAAAGTTTTATTCTTTCCTCTCTGCTACACATTAGATTGGGGTGCATAAGGAGGGGTAACCTGATGAATTAAGCCATGCAATCTACAAAATTCATTCATTTATTCTAAACAGTACCCACCTCCCCTATTAGATCTTAAAACTTTTATTTTCTTTTCTAACTGATTTTCTACCTCAGCTTTATAAATTTTAAATTTGATAAACACTTCATCTTTAGTGCTAAGTAAATATACATGACAATATTTAGAGCAATCATCCACAAAAGTTACAAAATACCTTTTTCCTCCATGTGTCAAAGTATTATTACAGTCACAAACATCACTATAAATTAATTCTAGCAATAAAGAATTTCTTTCTATGGATTTAAACGGTTTTCTAGGTTGCTTTGCTTGTACACAAATTTCATATTTATCTTTATTATTGAAAGTAGATTTAGGTATTAATTCCATATTCATCATTCTATTTATTAAGCTAAAATTCACGTGTCTAAGTCGACCATGCCAATATTAGAACATTCAATATTTGCAACAACATAAGAATAACATGGAGATTTATAACTGGCAAAAGACACTACATTGAGTTTAAACAAACCATCTACCAAATAACCTTTACCAATAAAAGTACCATGTTTGTTAAGTACTACTCTATTGGATTAAAAACAACTTTAAAGCCTTGTTCTACTGGTAAGAAAACACTGACTAAATTTTTTGAAATTGAAGGAACATACAAAACATTGTCTAATAAGAGGTCTTTGCTCGAAGGTAATTTTAATAAAACATCTCATTCTCCTATCGTGAAGGCCTCATTCCCATTTCCCATCTTTTGAAACGCCCCAAGATTTCATATAAACATCTTAGGCAACGCTAAATAATTCTTCTAGCTAACCTTAACTCTAATGACAACAACGACGCGTTTACCAGCAACATCCATAACAATTAAAGTAGTTCTAAAGAATACAAAATTTCCTCCGCGGTTCACACCTAGCAA